TTGGTAAGTCATTTTCCTTATAAATAATAAGGGTGTGGCATATAATACACATTTGAACAATCTTTATCAAGACTTACTTACAGTTGGTCAGATATAGATTGCTGTAGGTATGTGTGGCCAGCAACAGGAATAACAAAAGTGTTGTTTCTTGTACTTATGCATCGCTCAGTCACACACAGGCTTCATACTAGGCAACGTGGGTGAAGTGTCTTGCCTAAGGACACAATGGAAGCTTGCAGTAGTGGCACATCTGTGCATTTGTGTTGTAATTAGTTGTAGTTGTAACAGAGCTATAGAGACATGGTTAGTTTTATGGTTTAATTTGTTGTCTAAAATGGTAATGTGTATGTTCTTATTAAAGGGCCTATATTATGCTATGTTGTTTCCTCATGAAAAACATACCTTGAATTGTATGTTTGACACACAAACACTGTTCCACTTTGTGATAATACAAGAAGTGTTTTTATACATGCACCTTCACTAGAATTATTTGGATAATTTCAGCCCGGGAACTGACAATTTCTACTGAACTGAAGGTAAAAGGAGCTGTTAACTTGCAAACTACCACTATCACATGACACCACAAGGCAGAACAGAGCATTTTGAGGTTTGGAGAGACTTGAACATGATTGAATGAAATGAAACACAGCATCCATGTATGTTTTTGAGAAGGTAACAACATTATAACACGGTTTAAAGCTCACAAGAGTAAATTTTTGCGTAATATAGGCCCTTTAATCCCTCTCAGCTGCCAACTTTGCCTTTGTAACGACAAGTATAATGTGTTAGAAATGCTCTCTAGATAAACATAAACGAACGGTCACCGGTGTTACGCAAGTGGACCTTCTCATTATGGTCTGGTTATGTAACTGCACTTACATTGGGTTTGCATTAAGAGTGTTTATATGAGGCAGAGCTCTCAGGACAGCTCCTCTCCTTGGGACGAGGCCTCAGACTAAACATGACTCATCGCTTTGCTCTGGGTCTATCACCAACTCGTGATGTCATACATATCAAGTACCTGCTGCTGCGCCTGGGAGACTTAATGGGGTAGATGGTTCAATTCCCACCCCTCTGCATTGCGCAAACTGAACTTTAGAGATAATCAATTTAAAACAGGACTGAAGATTACATGTTTTTGTACTACTTAGTTTCAAAGCATACTATATTTTTGTGGATTACATTTTTAGTTGGTATAGACAGCAGTGTCAGTCCAAAAGGGTCTCTTAGGTTCCTGATTTTTGCAATATTAGTGAATTCCCATTAATCTTTCCCATAGACGTTTCATTTTAATTATTTTAATATAATTTTTGTTGAGGAAAGTCTACAGGAAAAATGAATGTGAAATTTACTAACCAAGTGATCCATTAGTTTATGTTATAATGTTGTTTCCTCATCAAAACCTATCTGGACTTGTGTTTCATTTCATTCACACATGTTTAATAAACCCTGTATATTAAGGATGAGTTCTTCTCTCAAACAGAAGACACTCTATTCCACCTTGTGATGTCATGTGGTAATATAGTTTCAACAGAATCATTTGGATCATTTCAAGCTCTGTAATTGCCAATCTCTAACTGAACAATAAGTAACAGATCACTGTTAACTTGAAACCTATGACTACACATGTGTGAATGAAACAAAACACAAGTCCAAATATGTTTTTGAAAATGTTTTTGAGGAGGTAACATCATTCTAACATGTCTTAAATCTCACAATCTCTTAATATGGGTCCTTTAATTTACAATGAGAGTTTTTCCCCTAACAGTCTTTTCTATTACCTTTCTGAATCTACCTGTGTCCCCATTGTGCCGTACCCACTGTAGCTCTCTTCCGCTGGCATCTATCTTATATTCCAGACTTGTCAAAGCAAACATAGAGCCCAGCGTTTCCATGCCGGCTCTGGTCTCTATAAACAGGCACAAACACACTGTCACAGAGCCATGATTATGATAAGGCAGTGTTTTATGCAGCATCCCCTCAAAGTAAACACTGGATATTTCACAGTTTGGAGATGGTGCGATCTTGTCTGTGGCATGTGGCAAAGTTTGGCAGGTTTCATGGTGTTTCCTCAAATTCACTGACTCACCGGTCTGTATGTGCATATGCGTGTAAATGTGTGTGTTTGTGTGTGTGTGTGTGTGTGCAGCTCCACAGGCCTCTGACAGTCTGTTTGCTCTGTGCACACTCACGCTGTTTAATATCACCATCGTCAGGTTCCTCTCCTTGACTTGTCCATCTTTGGCTACAGCCCCCGTGTGTGTGGAAATAACAGCTTTTCACAACATTCACAAAATATTTTTTAAATGAGACATTGTAAGAGAAAAATAACAAAGTAATAAAAGGATTTGAAAATACAAGTAGTTAAGAATCAAGCCCATCTAATGTTATAATATCACTTAGTCACTCCCACATTTTTATTGAAAATCAAACTCCTAAAAAGGACCATGAACACTTGTAGTCATCACACCCCCAGCATGATGTCACTGCAATAACAACAAAAGTAGGTATAAATGTAGTAGGAATTACTTAGTATAGGATTGGTACAAATCCGTGTATCATTCGTTCATTAGTTTATCAGTATAAAACCAAAAATAAGAAAATTAAAAAAACAACAGTTTTCTTCATAACCAAAATGAAAAAAACAGATAATGATTTGTTGTTGGTTTTTTTTTTTTTTTTTCAGTTTTCGATTTTGTGTTTAAATGAATAATGGAAAACATGACTTAAACTGCGATGCCGGACTAAAACAGGACTGAACCAAGACCGAATCAGGACTAAACCATTTTCAGTCCTGGTCTGGTCCCAGTCTGGTCCCAGTCTAGTCCCGGTCTCAGTCCCAGTCTCAATCCTGGTCTCAATCCCGGTCTGGTCCTGGTCTGGTCCTGACCTCGGTCCTGGTCTGGTTCCAGATCTGTTTTAGTCTTGGGTCAGTCCTGGTTCAGTCCGCAGTTTAAGTCATCCATTTTTTCCATTATTCAGTTAAACACAAAATCAAAAACTGAAAAATAAATAAATAAATAATAATAATAATAATAATAAATCATTATCTGTTTTTTTTTGTTTGTTTTTTTGTTTTTTGTTTTCTTATTTTTGGTTTTATATTGAAAAACGAATGAACAAGTGATACACAGATTGACACGGATTGATTCCAAACAAAGGTCACTGGTTCATTTTATATAGAGCATAGCAGGTGTAAGTCAATGTCTTATTTCTTTCTATTTTCTTTCTATTTTGGATATCAGATGAATGCCTATAATTTGATGTGGATTCTCTATAGCACAGACTCCCGCCGTAAACATTTTTCCTCCATATCTTCAGTGTCACTGTTTCTTATGTGCAGACAACAGCCCCTATGGCCCATCCTTTTATGTTCCTAATCAAGGTTTTTGTTGCAAGGACCTATGATGTTAACCCTTGTCTACATTCATTAGTGATATCTCATGTTTGGGTTTATGATAAGACTGTTTTATGAATGAAGGAAAAAAAAATCAAAGACAGGAAATGGCATTTTGATGCAATAGATTAGCTTGTTTGGAAATGTTATAGCCAGGACGCAGGATGTATGCCACTAGACAAAACTCATCTACTCTCCTATCAACTCAACAAAAGACAAGCTATGGGAATTAGCGACTTTGGGTGACTGTGAGGGTACTGCTTCCCCACACTGACTGGCAACATGGATCCTTATTGCATTAATGTACTGTAGTCCCCATGAGGCTACTGACATGCTAATCCAAACCTCGTTCTTCTGCTACAGGTTTGCTTAATTAAACGCACGTGTAGGCTGCCTCAGTCATTCTCAAAGTGAAATGGCCGTTCCTCTGTTTGACTTACTAGAACAATCTCATCTGGAGCAGGTGTTCCTCATTTCCTGCTCTAAAGGAAAAATAAATACATTATTAGTGAGCAAGTGTAAAGAGTAAGAAGGTGTTTGAAAGAAAAAAGAATGGGACATTACGTTATTATTGCAATGGGCCACACAGTACGAGTGTGTTGGTTCAGGTGGGCGGTGCTCCACAAAGTTCCCAGAGAGAACTTCATACTGATTTCATTATGAGACATGTAAGTAAAAGAAATGTAAAACTATGAGTGGTGTGTTTTAGAGGTCAGTGCAGCAATGGATCAAAACTGTGGAATGAAGGCAGCTGTGCAATATTTGTTGAATCTATGGACAAGAGACAGACAGTGTATTTGTAGCTACAAATGCACTCTGTGCCCTGGCCAACTCCAAAAAATCCCTGACTGAATTTGGCCCAGTGCCTTGCACGTGAGTCTAGAAACAGCTGGAAGGATGCAGCAGAGTGGAAGGGAGAAGAGAGAAAAAGAGGGCAAGAGATAGATAGAAAGAGAGAGAAAGAGGAGAGAGAGAGATGCAAGAGGGAGGGAGAAGAGAGAGGAGAGAGAACTGGGAGAGGGAGGAGGAGGGAGAGAGAGCTGGGTGAGGGTGTGTGTTGAAGACAGAGTCTAAGCAGAGCAGTCCAGTTCCCAGGCTTGATGCTCCAGAGAACTCAGGAACAGAGGCGGAGGGGGAAAACATCTGCATGGCCCTGATACAGCTGGGCTGAATTCTTTTCTGTGTGGCTCTAAACATGATCGGTTACAGATACACATTGAGATATTAGAAAGCAAACTTGTATGTTGAATTTCACAAGTAATGTGGATGCATGCATACTGTGATTTAAATACATTTCTTGTGTGTCCCCAAAGCAATGTCTCACATCCTCCTATGCTGTATACTGGTGTTTCTTCAGTCATTTGCAAATCAAATTACTTGCATATAGCCAGTTATAGCTATTATATTTTCCTTTTTGATATGATGTTTATGTAAGTATATAAATGTACGGTAATATTACACATCATTACAAAACAACATATAGTATAATAATATTACAATATTATTGCAATATAACATGTTTTCAACATTTTCAGGTACTTTCTCTCATTTTTTACTTTTGTAGAAATGGATGTGTCACTAATGTTAGTGTTTATTTTCCTAGGGCTGTGGGACATCTTGTGGAAAATGTGACTGCAGTGGTGTAAAAGGAGCAAAGGTAATAATAGGCATATTCAAAACTAGATTTGTTCCAATTATGTGTTATCTTTAGGCCACAATAATGTCTATGTCCTCAGTAGGGTTGTCAAAAGTATTGATACCACATACTAATAGATACTAAAGCTTGATTATAGATGTATGAAGTATCAATGCTGAAAGAATCAGTAAGCTACACAATTGGCTAGAACAGTGTCCTGAAGTTTCAGTAGAGTCTGGAACCTCTGGAATCTCTTTTCAAACTTCAAAAAGGTAAATCCAAATTACAAATTATTCCTAACAATATGAAAATAATAAATTATGCAATTTCCCGTTGGCTCCCAAACGTTGTCGCTGTAAAACTGTCATGCAACACAGTGGCTCCTTTTTAACTCAATGCTTCTATCTAGTGGTCGTCTAGGGAAATTACATTTCTAAAATTCTTTTCAAAAGAGGAGGGGCACCATTACCATGTTTATCTGATGTCTGTTGCTGTTAAGCCCAGGTATAAACAGAAATAATAATTTCATTTAATAAAATAATAATAGCGGTTGGATTTAATGTGTGTATATGTTCATATTTACGATATACGTTTTCTATATTTCTGTTATATTTGTCTAGGGTGAACGTGGGTTTCCTGGACTTCAGGGTAACATGGGTTTTCCAGGAATGCATGGACCTGAGGGGCCAGCAGGGCCAATGGGCCCAAAGGTAAAAACAGGCAAACTTTTAAACACAGTAAAATTTGTTGTGACCTCTAATGATTTGATTGTTTGTCCCTTAGGGAGATACTGGCGAGCTGGGATCCCCTGGACTTAAAGGAGTTCGAGTGAGTAATTAATGAGATTTACAGAATTACGGAATAGATCATGTTTTAACACTGGACTGTCCAGATGATACAGATTGTTTGTTCTCACGCAGGGCCCTCCTGGTTTACCAGGTTTTCCAGGGAACCCTGGATTGCCAGTAAGTTTCTGAATGTGTTTTCTTCAGTAATTTCACACGCTCTTCAGCAAGTTCACATTAACAATACTTTGTTTATCAGGGTATTAATGGAAATGATGGCCCACCCGGTGCCCCAGGTATCCCAGGATGCAATGGGACAAAAGTAAGTCCCTTGTCTGTCTCTCTCTCACTCTATGTAACATATATGTTCAAAATGAAGTGTCAAATTACATAATATGTAACATGCCTTTAGACCTATCAGTTGAGATTTAAGTATCAGACAAATGTGAAATTACTTTAAAATTATCATCAAACATACATAAATCTCACTTTATTCTCTTGTTTGGAAGTTTAAAAGAGAATATTGTTCCATCTTAGTTTTTCACTGCATTTGAGACAGTAAAATTTAGCATAACATTAAAACAAGATTCACACTGTTGATTGCCTGCTCTTGACTGTATTGTTGTCTTATATTAGGGAGAAATAGGCAGAGATGGTACCCCTGGTTTTCCTGGACTTCAAGGACCTCCGGTAAGAAACTTTTCTAAGTGACCTAAGCCTTATGTTTAAGACTTTGGGTAAAGGACCTTTTATTGAGCAGAGACCATTAACATCTGCATTTGCTGATCTGTATATTTTCTCGCACTACATAGGGTATCCCAGGAATACCAGGAATGAAGGTGAGCAAACATGATAATAAAACATATTACATATTAACGTATACATATACAACAGTATTGGGATGTCATCCTGTGGATTTGCCAACCTGGAAAGATTTATTTATTAACTTATGATGGATTAACTTATGGATTCATGGAGCTGCATCATAATTAGATTGATGTTTGATGCTTAGCAATCATGATATGAATGAGTGACTGGCAGACATAATCAGTGAAATACTGTTTCATATAACTGACTCTTAAAGGAATTACAAAAGTACTATATGAATAAAAAATAAAAAAACATATTCTTTTTAAATGATATGATGCATTATTAGTATTAAAAGGGACCCGTCAGATCCATGTTATAATGTTCTTTCCTTGTCAAAAACATGTCTGGAGTTGTATTTTGTTTCATTCACATATGTTTAACACACAAATCCTGCATGTTTAGGCTGAGGTCTTCTCTCAAACGAAAACATTCTGTTCAACCTTGTAATGTCATGCGGTAATACAGGAAGGGCTCCATTGTGTTTTTAAACTTTGTCGATCTTCACTATAATCATTTGGAGGATTTCAACTTTGGAGATGTAGTCACAGACTAATACGAAAGGGTTATGCAAACATGTGTGAAGAAAACAAAACACACCTCCAGCTATGTTTTTAAGAAAGTAACAGCATTCTAATGCAGCTTAAATCTCACAAGAGTAAATTCTGTGCAATACAGGACCGTTACTCACTGAGCCACAGATGTAGCAGACACATGCTCAGATCACATTTCTACATGGTTTTGTGTACTCTAGGGCGACCCTGGTGGTGTTCTCGGGATAGTTCCGCTCAAAGGGGACAGAGGATTCCCTGGTACTCCTGGCCTTCCTGTAAGTTTATATCTGGATAAAATATCTACTTAACACACTATGAACAGTTATGACTAATTTTTCACCCATCCTCTTTTTGTCATAAGGGCCCTACGGGACCACCTGGACGCACTGGACCCAGTGGACCTCGAGGGGATCAAGGACCAAAAGTGAGCATCTCCTCATATTAATCAGGACAAATTGTGTTGTTTTTAGCACTGATTTGACTGTTTACACAGGGTGATCCTGGCCCTCCCGGTCTCCCAGGAGAAAAAGTAAGATACAGGCTAAGCACACCCAAGTTGAAAATGTGTTTTTCAGATACCAAACATACTATTCTCCTTTTTCTTTTTGACACAGGCAGACAAGCTGTCGTTTGTGAGTCAGAAAGGAGACAAGGTTAGCATATATTTTAATCAGGGATATAATGCTGTGTACATTTGATACTAAAACCTTTCATGAATGTGTTCAGGGTGACCGGGGACTGCGTGGCCCTCCTGGCCCACCAGGCCCATACACTGGTCTCGAAGGATCTACCACAGTCTACATTCCTGGTCCACAGGTACTGAATCTCATAAAGCAACTAAGTTCACTGCACACAAATACCTCAACAAATAGATTATAACAAGTGCTTTCTGTTGTAAAAAGGGCAACAGGGGATTCCCAGGAGAGAAAGGAGAGAAGGTAAGTGTAATTAATTGTATCAGTGATAGTAACATTTTCAACCATTTATTTCCAAATTAGTTTAATTAGGTATTCTTCATAGGGCTTCTGTATACCACATCTTGATGGGGTCAAAGGTGAAGCTGGCCCACCTGGATCAAGGGTGAGTGTCCGGTGAGTGATGCTTGTACACGTTCAAAATGCATTGTTGTGAGTTTTGTGTTTTTATGTTTCAAGGGAAAACCTGGCAAAGATGGAGATCCTGGGTTAAAGGTAAGCAATCAGTCTATTTAGGCATAGTCTCTCTTATCACCTGTGTGTCCACAATCTCCAGCTGACATATTACTGTTTGTAGGGAGAAAAAGGTTTTACCGGAGCTCCTGGACGAGATGGCTTATCGGTAACTAATATCATTGATCATGCACAGTATCTATATTACAGTCACATATAAATGGTATTAATATAAATGGCCAATTATGTTTCAGGGTGAAAAGGGAGAGAGAGGACCCCCAGGTTATGTAAGTATTGCACAGTAATAAGTACAGATTATCTTTTAACATAGCTGAATATTTAAACAGATACATTTCAACTGTTTTTGATTAAATGACAATATCATGTATAGATCCATAAAGTAACAATAAACTAGCAATTTTTATTTATTTATTTATTTTTAGTTTTTTAGTTTTTATTAAAATTCTATGTTTGTACAGGGTAGTGGAGCTCCTGGCCCTCCAGGGCCTCGTGGTCTCCCAGGACTGGAAGGAGAGAAAGGTGCTGTACAACAATCACAGAATTTTATAGCTTCTATTGGCATGCAGGTTCCTCTTATTTTTGTAATCAGTCAATAATAATCAATAGACCTTTACAATCTCAGGTTTTCCTGGTCCCCAAGGAGAACCTGGCCCGCCAGGTAAAACAATATTTATAACAAACAAAATATCCAAACCTGTACAAAAACTTTTGATCACATGGGGTTGTTTTATTCTTAATATTAGGACGTCACATTGAGGGACCAAGAGGAGAGAAGGGTCTTAAGGGATATCCTGGTGAAAAAGGACTCCCAGGATTAGATGGAGTATCTATGATTGGGCCTCCCGGAGAACCAGGACCACGTGGAGAAACTGGAGCTCCTGGACCTATAGGTCCATCACATATAAATTATATATATATATATATATATATATATATATATATATATAGATATAAATTGAAACCTAAATTGAATGATAGATTAAAAATGCCTTTTTCTCTTTACATGGGCATATAGGCAATATTTATGAGTGCAACATCCAAAAGGGGCCTCCAGGCCCACCTGGACCCCCAGGTCTGCAGGGAGAGCTGGGACAGAAAGGTAATACTCACACAGTCGAGTGTGTTCACTCACTTTTATGTCTTGACATATATGACATGTAATCATTCTTTAAGGTGACAAAGGAGATACTTGTGTCCTGTGTGAGGGTCAGGTGGCCCCTGGTTTACCAGGCCCTACTGGCCAGAAAGGAGAGCGAGGTGTGTTCATATGTTTAAACCACCAAGACTGCAGTTCAAATAAGAATCAAATGTGATACTTGATGTGATCAGCTTTTCAATTTTTTATACTATAGGACCTCCTGGTGCAGTTGGTGGCAAAGGTGAAAAGGGTGAACCTGGAGTGACTGGAACCCCTGGCAGACCTGTAAGCAGAGTCTTAAACTATGATTAAAAAAAAATAAAAGGGGTGATTCTGACCTCTTTTGATGTACAAAGGGAACCCAAGGCGTCCCTGGATTAAGAGGGTCTCCTGGTGCTGTCGGTGAACCTGGGGACATCATTGTGGCTCCGGGTCTGAAGGGAGAGAAGGGACTGCCAGGTACACCTGGCTCTCCAGGAAGGCCTGGGCTTGACGGACTACCTGGTCGAGATGGCCTGCCAGGGACACCTGGTCTCAAAGGAGAACCTGTCAGTTCCAGTATTATGTAGACTTTTAGTTATGTGGTATTTGTTTTAATTATTACAGTTTGATTTCAGGCTAAAGAAGGCATCAAGGGTGAGCGAGGACCAGATGGAGACCCTGGTCTTATTGGACCTCCTGGGGAGAGAGGTCCACCTGGAGTCCCAGGGTTTGGCCGTCCAGGTGAACCTGGAGAAAAGGGAACTTCAGGCAATCCAGGTCTTCCTGGAGCTCCTGGACCACCTGGTAAGTACAGAAATGAAGAAAACAGCACCATTGTGGCCCCATTCTGGGAAGTTTTCTTTTTCTCATGCATCTTTGCATGTGTACTAACCAGGTAGCAAAGGTGAGCCAGGCCAGGGCATAAGTACCCCAGGACCTCAAGGTGCTCCAGGGCCACGTGGAGAACCTGGTTTACCTGGACTTCAAGGTGATTAACATTAAGCACCAAAAAGGTTGGACAATACTCAGCTGTGAGGTTCAACTGACTTTCCTGATTGCAGGGGACAGGGGACCTCAAGGAGACCAAGGGGCACCAGGTTTCCCTGGTCAAAAGGGTGATCCAGGATCTCCAGGAATTGGAATGCCTGGACCCACTGGTGCCAAAGGTAGTTCAAAAGATGAGATCATAAAAATATATTTCTATTGACACCAAAATAATAATAAAAAAAAAAAATGTGCAGGAATCAGTGGAATTCCAGGAGCTCCAGGAATACCAGGAGAACCAGGAAAACCAGGTCGTGATGGTCTTACGGGACAACCAGGTCCACCAGGTCAAAAGGTGACAGAGCATTTCATCATCTACTTTAGATCATCCTGTTGAACACAAAGTTCTCAAGATGATAAAGCTCTCAGAAGCTTAACTGTATCTCTTCACTCTAGGGTGAACCAGGCCGTGGTCTGCCAGGGCCTAAAGGTTCTCAGGGTCCCGCTGGATTCCCTGGTTTCCAAGGTGAGAAAGGTAGTAATGGACTTCCCGGCATCCCTGGAAGAGAGGGTCCAACTGGTCCACCAGGCCCTCAGGGAATTAAAGGTAACAAGTGTTGTGAATAATCCCAATGTTACCAGTTTGTGAAAATACACTTTTTTTTTATTTTTATTTTATTTTACAACATATATTTAAGGTGATGTGGGTCCCCCTGGTCCACCTGGACAGTTGGGGACACCTGGTCCACCTGGCAAAGGAACCCCTGGAGCCCCTGGACCACAAGGACCACCTGGAGAGCCAGGCCCATCAGGTGAGCTTACATGTAACAACTTAATATTTGAAGAAAATATAAAATTTACTTAAAACTGTGAAAAAAAGCAAAACAAGCAAACAAACAAACTGTTGGGTTTCATATAGATTTTTTTTATTTTACATCATAGGTTATGTTTTCTTAATTTATTTAAGTTTTGTTAATGTTTTGTGAGGCAGGTAGAGAAGGAGTTAAAGGGGAAAAGGGCTTCCCAGGACCTCCTGGTTTAGACATGCCTGGACCTCAAGGTGAGAAAGGAGCACCGGGTTTTCCAGGGTCACCTGGCTCCAAAGGCCTTCCAGGTCCTCCAGGTTTAACAGGCAGAGATGGACTTCCGGGAAGTCAAGGTAAAGATTCTTACTATGCCTAAAATACATCCATCTTCGCAAATATGTGTTACAATATTATATTTGACTGTTTACTGTATAGGGTCCAAGGGTGAAATGGGAGTTATAGGGACACCCGGAGTGCCAGGCTTCCCTGGATCGCCAGGTGTACGTGGATCTCCTGGTCTGAGAGGTGAGTGTGGGACAAATCTCAAGCAAAAGTATAAATTCAAACTAAATATTGTTAGGAATAATGAATATGTGTGTTAGGTGATCCGGGTTTTACTGGGCCCAGAGGTGATATAGGAGAGCCTGGACCGAAAGGTGAAAGAGGAGAGCAGGGTCTTCAGGGACCACCAGGAAATATGTCTGTAGTGGACATGGAGCACATGAAGGGAGATAAAGGAGACCCTGGAGACCCAGGTATTGTTCTGCAAAAAGCTTGTTGCCACTGGCGAGATTTGTTTTGTAAGCAAATTGTCTGATTTGTTTTTGTGTTACATTTATTCCTGCTAGGAAATCCTGGTGCTAGTGGACCGAAAGGAATCAGAGGAATGCCTGGAGACCCTGGTATGCCAGGGAAAGACGGAGAGCCTGGTTTACCTGGACATTCAGGTAACATTTCTGGTCATTTATCTTGTAACAATACAAAAGTAATGTCTGTGCACATTATTGATATGCTGGATTATTTTTATAAAAAGAAAAATTCTTAAAAAAATAAAATTAACTGAACCAATACTATACACTGTATTGGCATTCTGTTTTACAGGTGACAAAGGAGACCAAGGAATTCCTGGGGAGCCTGGCAGCATAGGAACACCTGGGCAAAAAGGAACTGTAGGAGAAATGGGTATACCAGGTACAGTCAAAAATAAAGAGTATTTCTTTAATGACAAATAAAGAAGTACAGTAGATGAAAGACTGATCCAAACATTTGGTTTGCTTGCCAGGTCCTGTTGGTCCGAAGGGCACAAAGGGTGACGTGGGTACACCAGGTCATCCAGGGTTTAGAGGTCAAGATGGACAAAAGGGAGATGAAGGTGTACCTGGTGAACCTGGTATTGGCGTCCCTGGACATCCAGGAGAAAAGGTATGCTCTGGCTTTTAGGGTCTTAATAACTGAAATTTATTTAACATGTTAATACGTTGTTTTTGGCAAATATAGCATTTTCAAAGGTAATGTGGTGATCTAAATATGTGACGTGTTTACAGTTAGTTCGACATCGAGTTATAATATCCCTTTAAAATGTTTCAAATATCAAATTAGTTACAACATGCAACAAACCAACAAATAGGACATGCCATTTTTCAGTTAGTAGTTTACCAGTTTACCAATTTTGTGATTCGATGATTAAAGGAGCATAATGTTGTTCATATACTGGTATAGTAAAGCTTACGTTAAGTACTGATACAGAAAAAAAATTTAATGGTGCCAAGTCCTAGTGCTCATACATGTTCATAATCACTGCCTCTTTCTTGCAGGTTTGCATTAGTAGATATGCCTTTTGTTCTAAATGTATGTACTTTCCTATCCGAATAGGGTCCACCAGGCCAGCCAGGATTCCCAGGAATTGCTGGAGAGAAGGGTCAGAAGGGTCAAATGGGAATGCCAGGCCAACCGGGTCTACAGGGCACAAAGGGAGAGAAGGGCACCATTGGATTTCCTGGTTTGTCTAAAGATTATTTGAATAAGCACACTTGAAATGTGGATGTATTTCTTCTCTGCTGATCAACTTGTGGTTGGTCTATTGTGTAGGTCAGCCAGGGATACCTGGAGAAAAGGGTACTTCAGGGTTGCCCGGCTCTCAGGGAGAAACAGGACTCGATGGCCGACCAGGTTTGCAAATTAAGCTGTTAAAAAGTAGTTTAGCATATACTGGGGCTAAACCATTTTTTAAAATATGTAACAGCATATTTTTTGTGTGTCAAGCATTGCAGTTAGTTAACATTTACTGAAGACTTAAATATGAACTGCAAAATGAATACAAAAATGCAATACATTTCAGAATATGTCTACAGAGTTACATTGTTTTATACATAATAAAACTGGATATTTTGTCGTATTAAAGAGTTACATAATTGCAGTTTTTGCTAATTGGTAAATGCAACCACTCAAATACAGATTGTGATTTACCTGATCAGTCCTACCATATACAGACCATATTCAATGAAAAAGTTCTAGACTCCTGACTTTACTCTATTTGTTCTATAAGGTGAGCCTGGTCTTTTGGGCCCCCCCGGTCCCCCTGGTGAGAAAGGAGACCCAGGAGTCGATGGGATCCCTGGATCCTCTGGAGAGAGGGGAGAACCAGGTTATACTTTTTACAACTGTACCAGAGAACAGTATAATGTCACGATTCATCAAAATGACCAAATCCTCTGCAATCACCTACAGGTACACCTGGACAAGGCTTCCCCGGGAAACCAGGTGCAGCCGGCATCAAAGGTACAGCAAATTACTTTTAGAGCCTATATATTAAACAGATTTACTCATTCTTCCCCCTCTCTTTTTCCCTTAGGTGATAAAGGAAGCCCTGGTTTTCCTGGCACTCCTGGGCATCCAGGTGTCCCTGGGGTCAAAGGTGATAAAGGCTTTCAAGGCCCACTAGGTCCTCAGGGAGAACCAGGAGAGCGGGGACTGCCAGGGGTCTCTTTGGAAGGCCCTAAGGGAGATAAGGGAGACAGTGGACAACCAGGGGACCCAGGTAAAGCATTGAATATGGCCTTATATATTATAAAGTTTTAGTAAACCAGATTAATTTAATTTATTATTTCTATAAACAAGGACCCCCTGGTGTCCCTGGCATTACTGGAGTCCCAGGAAGAGATGGACTAAAAGGGGATAAAGGAGACCAGGGTCGCCCAGGATTTCAAGGCGAGACAGGGCCGAAGGGTGACTTTGGGACTCCTGGCCTTCCTGTGAGTGCACAGTCATAAACTTGGCTTCTATTATAATATTTACTGAGGTACTCAAAAATACAATACATGTTCAGGGTCAACCAGGTCTTCCAGGTGTTGATGGACATAAAGGAGAAAGGGGGCAACAGGGCGCCCCAGGTTTTAGAGGTACTGTTTGTGGATTTGAAACGCTGATAAATGTTCAGTATGTGGACACTGACTTTTATTTGAACATCAAATTTATCCTCTAGGTGAAAAGGGTCCTGTGGGAGAAATTGGCTACAAAGGAGAGCTTGGAGACAGTGGATTCCCTGGGGACAAGGGTAAATATTTGATGAATGCAGCATAGATTTGTTAAAATATTAAAGTTATCTAAATGTGAAAATAATCACTCAACATGTGCATTTTAGGTAATCAAGGCCCCCCTGGTCCTCCTGGCCCCCACACTTTCATCAAAGGAGACATGGGGCCACCTGGAAGCCAGGGTTTTCCTGGACCAAAAGGATCCATTGGAAATATAGGACCAAAGGGTCTACAAGGTGATACATGGAATAAAATATATTTTCAATATTATTTCAATCTGCCAGATTCCTTTCTGACAAAACACAAATGCCCATAGGTATCACTGGCATCCCAGGGCCAAAAGGTGAAGATGGCCTCCCGGGTTACAATGGTCAGCCTGGGGCCAAAGGAGAGCCAGGCCTTCCTGGACCGCAAGGTCAGAAATAACATTTTCTTTTTATACTTAGACACAAATGCGCCTCAAAACTGAAATCTCTAACTTGTTCATAACTTCACCTGTGAAGGAACAAGAGGATTTCCAGGACCTCCTGGGCCTGATGGTGTGCCAGGTCAAGTAGGTCCACCTGGACCCTCTTCCATGTATCATGGGTTTTTGGTTACCCGACATAGCCAGTCTGTGGAGGTCCCAGTGTGTCCCGAAGGAACGTCACCGATTTATGACGGCTACTCCCTGCTTTATGTGCAGGGCAACGAGCGCTCTCATGGACAAGACCTGGGTATGATTTACTGTGTGTTTCACAGTCTCAGAATGAGGACAAAGTGAGAGATGTCCTGTCTCTTTGTTTTAGGTACGGCGGGGAGCTGTCTCAGAAAGTTCAGCCCAATGCCATTTTTGTTTTGTAACATCAACAATGTGTGTAATTTTGCCTCCCGAAATGACTACTCATACTGGCTCACCTCGCCTGAGCCGATGCCCATGAGCATGGCTCCGATCACAGGGCAAAGCATTAAGCCTTTCATCAGCAGGTAAAAATCAGCTCATATCATCATATACAGACTCATGTACGCTCTAAAGTCCTGCCGCTCTGTGCACAGGTGCACTGTGTGTGAAGCCCCAGCCATGGTCATAGCTGTTCATAGTCAGACCATTATGATCCCACCCTGTCCAAATGGGTGGGATTCTCTGTGGATTGGTTACTCTTTTGTCATGGTGAGTGTAACAGATCTGGTATCAGTACAAAGAGACTGTTCCTACTTCCCACAGGGACATGTGAGGCTGCACAAACAGTTTCAGTGTAATAAATGTTTGTTACTGTGTGCAGCACACGAGTGCTGGTGCAGAGGGGTCTGGTCAGGCTCTGGCCTCTCCTGGTTCTTGTCTTGAGGAGTTCCGCAGTGCTCCATTCATTGAGTGCCATGGCCGGGGAACCTGTAACTACTATGCAAACTCCTACAGCTTTTGGCTTGCCACCATAGAAGACAGCGAGATGTTCACGTAGGAGAATTTTATCAACAACTAACTTCTAATACATAAATGGCAAGTTTTTACTATTTTTCTACTCCTGTTACAGGAAACCTGTTCCAACAACGCTAAAGGCTGGGAGTCTACGTACACACATCAGCCGTTGTCAGGTGTGCCTGAAGAGGACATTGGCCTAGTGCTACAGCTTTAGATTCCTGCTTCATGTGGCTCCTGTCTCCAGAAGATGGTGCTATTTCACAGTCAATGAAACAGAACAGGGACAGAGACATGGCTTGGAGAACAGCTGGAAGTTTGAACCAAAAACAATGAGACAAAACCTTTTTCCAGAACTTGTGTTGAAAGACTGGCGCCGGGTTTACCACTGCACTGAATACACTTATGAACTGGTAAACCTGTGTCCTTTTGATATGCTTTTGTCTGGTGCTAATCAGTCTCACTTCTATGCCTTCATTACACGTCCAGCAAGGATATAATAATCTTTTATCGTCACATTTTTGTAAACAATGGGACTTACCACTGGTGTTATGCTAATGCACACTATGCCCAATAACTACAGCTATGTATGTGTCACTCTGTAAATATGATGAATTTCTTACTACATAGTCCTCAGGTTATCATGGAAATTGTCTTTGTGTGGTTACTTTATTTATAAGAGTTATAAAAATACTTATGGTGTATCAAAACAGTGTTCTTCTGACCACCAAGCAGATACTTACAACAGGAAACAGCACTGAAACTGAATTGGCAGGTGTGTGACTGAACTTAAGAATGTATGAGTGAACTATGTTATGAGTGCCTGCTATGTTATGTTGAATTGACCCAAAATGTACATGTACCATTTTGATCCCCCCCAAACACATGTATATACTGTTGTTAATGTTATAATGCTTTTGTACTAGATTTATCCAATTTCCATTGTTTTGTTGTTTCTATCACATACAGAAACATGAAGAGTACTATTTAAACACCAAACATTCATTCCCTCCCTTGTATGTTTTGCCAATCCATTGTGTGAATTTCTTTCAATAAAGTGATTTGTAGATACTTTTAACAAATTTTACTTAAATTGTTGTGCCATTTTGATACTTAAACTTGTACTGCAAGCACAAGTAGGCAAACATACTTAAAGGTGCACTGCGCAACTTTTCTGGTGGAGGGTCTGCCACCTTGTCTCCATGCTGGAATGTTCCATGGTGTAACTTCAAATATATCAAAAATACAAAAATACAATGATTCCTTCACGGAGCTGAACTGTAAAGTAGCATAGGGCATAGTTATTATTATTATTATTATTATTATTATTATTAGTAGTAGTAGTAGTAGTAGTAGTAGAAGCAGAAGCAGCAGTAGTAGTAGCAGCAGTAGTAGTGGTGGTAGTAGTAGTCAGAGGTGGGGACTTGCATGTCGTGACTTGGACTCATATCAGACTTGAGTCACTATTTTTAGGACTTGAGACTTGACTTGATAAAACTGACTAAGACTTGGGACTCAACTTGGAACTGAAGATCAGTGACTTGGGACTTGACTCGGACTTGAGGCCTGTGACTTGAGAAGACTTGGGAAGCATTCTTTCTATTCTGGCCATAATGATTCACACTAAGATCTTGTCAAGACATTTAAAAAGGAAAATTAACTAAATAAATTTCTACAACTTTTACATACTCTATAAATACTCATAAATATACCTTGACTTTTTAGGTACAATTTAGTTTAAAATTCATATAAATTGCAAAAATCTAAGCACTTTGGTTTAAAGACTTGAAATGACTTGACGCTCAAAGCAGATTGAGGTCTTGAGGTCAAAGACTTGAGACTTACTTGAGCCTTGCAAAACAATGACTTGGTCTCACCTCTGGTAGTAGTAGTAGTAATAGTAATAGTAATAATAATAATAATAATAATAATAATAATAATAATAATAATAATAATCCAGATATATGAATTTTGTCCGTGAAAAGGTTAGTGTCTCAATACTCCCACTAGAGGTCAGCAGAGACAAACAAAATGATAATGTAATCGTCTGCATTTGGATTGGCCTGTGCCCTCCTAATCTTTCGCACTATTCATTCTCCTTATTTCCACACTTGCTCGATAGGCTGACCTCAAATGTCGCAGCCCAATTACAGCGTTGTTTGTGCAGCGGTCGTATCACTTTCACAGTGCGTCTTGAGCACCAAACACTCAAGGCAGCCACTACCTCAGCACTTCTACCGGGAGCGTGTCCAACAAACCCGTTCACCCCACGAAAACACAAACAGATCAATAATACGCGGTGCAGAGGAGCAGATAACCCCCGCTTTCATCCGCGCTCTCACCTTTCATCTCTTACTGGAAGCCAATCCGCCGTTTCCTCTGTTGTCATCAGACGGACAAACAGAGGCCGTGGCCTACACTCTCCGTAAATAAGACTAACTGGGCCGTGACCTTTGACCCGCAGCGACAAGGTCACTTAGGTGAGACGTGTAGCGAGCCGAGTTGATGACAGGTTCAATTGAAACAGACGGACAAAAGGGGCATTTATTTCATTTTGTGGCGCAGACAGCAGGTGCAGGTCAGGTGAAGTGCTGCTGTTCACCTACAGTCTGCTTTGTTTTTCAAGTTACAGATGTTACTGTGGTAGCCTCAATGGGTAAAGGGACTTTAGGATGTAAATTTTACACAGACTCTGTAGTAAAGAAGTGTCTTGCCCAAGGACACAACAGAAAATCAATTTTTAATATGCATTTTACTATGCATTTATTCCATACGCTGTTCAAGCCATAGATACAATTTAGCCACCAGCCTATGTGAAAACATGTAGCCTACAGAGGCCTGGGCTGTTCTTCATATAGTTTCCATCAACATAATGATTTCTCCATGTAAACGCCTTGCTTTAGCAGCTTCTTTTCATGAGTTGGTCTAGACCTACCTATAGCTTAACTATAGGATATAGAATTTATTGGTCAAAGTGAAATCCATTCCTCAACATACAGACCATCACAACCACTTACCACAACCACACTTAGACCATATGCTGCAAATCAATGTTTGGTCTACTTCAAAACTCCACCCTCAGAATAGTTAACCCACATCAGTCAATTGAAGAAAGGATTCTTCAAAAGCGTTTGACCAGGATGCAGTGTAAAGCAAAGATATTTTTTGTAATGTTATGTTGAAAACAGCAAGCAGAAACAGTTGACTTCTGTTTTGTTTACGTTTAGGGACCTGTGGATGGAGGTAGGTCATGTTGGGGTCCTCCCGGTAGAGGTCTGCAGCCAGATCCCTCTCTGATTCTCAGAGGAATTCACACGCAAACTTAAAACTGCTGTGTTGTGGTCAGCTCTGAGTCCTGCTGAGAGGCTTACAGGTTCAAAACACTTTTCCTTTTCCTCCTTAAGTGTGGTAATCCTGCAACCTGTTTGCTAACACTGCTGAGTTAAGAGTGGACCCATAAGCTTGGCGTTATGCTCTTACCAGTAGGAATAATAACACTGTATGCATGAGTGCCTCTGGATTGTAAAGCTAGTATGTTGACTTACATGAGCATAGTTGTATAATAGGCCTAGTGCTTCTATAGTTGAACCATGTTGTTGTTGAAGTTGTCATTGCTACTGGGGAATGAGTCAGGAGGTTAGCATGACCCTGACCTTTCCAAGAGTAGATCAAGGCTCAGCAGACACACCCCTCCAACCTGAGCCTACTCTAAATACAGATTAGTTTACAACATAGCATGCAACACAAAACGTGGCCGCTGGGCAAAAGCATGTCAGCGCAACCTGGACTTTCACTGGAATATAAATATACACAAAGGAAAAAAACAAAACAAAACAAAACATGAAGTACTGTCAAATGCATATGACAGGTTTTCAAGTTTTTCTCTTTTATTACTTTGTTCAGTTGGATCATGTCTGCACTAAATATTTATCACAGTTTTGCATCAGTGAATGGTGTTTTTTGGACAAGTTAAAAAGAAAAGTACAAAAATACAGCCAGTAGCGGTGAGAGCTAAAACACCTCAACATGTTACCTATGTTGATTTTTTTTAGTCATAACTGTTTTTATAATAATGTTATATGTGCAGTTTTTTAGGGGCCCTTGTCAATATTATGGTTGCTAAGTAACAGTTACCTGAAAGTATGTCAAAGGTGGGACCAAGTCGTTGTTTTGCAAGTTTGACCTCAAGTCCGAGTCAAGTCCCAATTCAAAGGCAGGCAAGTCCAAGTCGAGTCTCGGGTCACTGGCCCATAAGTCCATGTCAAGTCCAAGTCGTCTGCTTTGAGCTTCAAGTCATTTCAAGTCTTTAAACCAAAGTACCAAATATAGATGAGATTTTTCCAATTTATATTAATTAAATTAAACTAAATTGTACTTAAAGTTGTAGTATATTTATATATGAGTAATATATATAATATATAAGAGTTGTAGAAATGCTGTTTTTTTTCCTTTTTAAACATCTTGACAAGATCATTATGGTCAGAATAGAATGAATTCAGATTTAAAAGTGACAAATAACAGTTATTTTGTCATGTAGTTCTCTGTAGTTCCCTCTGTTTAATATTACTGTATAATCCTGTGTTTTACTGTAGTACATTTGATGATACCATATCACAGCTCAGCATGTATCAACTGTAAAGAGAAAAGTATTTTCTAAAAGCAGATATCCCTTTTTTAGGATAAGCATTAAGTCTTCTCAAGTTATGGGCCTAAAGTCAAAGTCAAGTCCCAAGTCACTGACCTTCAAGTCCAAGTCGAGTCCCAAGTCTTAGTCTATTTTATCAAGTTAAGCCTCAAGTCCTAAACATAGTGACTCAAGTCTGACTCGAGTCCAAGTCATCATATGCAAGTCTCCACCTCTGATGTATGTCATATCTGTTATTATACCAGGAAGAAAAATTATGAACTTTTAAGACTAGAAATAAATAAACAAACAAGAAGCTTTTTAGTAAAATCTTAAGCTCTATGAATAAGTCAGCTATGTTTGAGTGAAATGAGTAGTCTAACCTGTCTTATGCACTTTAAGAGGTAAATGTCAAGTACTCAATATAGGTCTGTTATAATTTACTGCGTGAACAGCTGTTGTGGCCCGTGTGCTGGCACCTCCAGTGTGATGTAATGCATTCTGTCATTGTTACAACACAAACTCAGTGTTACAGGTTTTGTTCCAGTGGAGAACATGTTGTGACACACTCCACAGAAAACAACTCACTCCAGTGGCCTGACCTTTAGACTTTGTCACACTGAGGTCAGTCTGTGTTTTTGAGGTCAAGTCAGAAGTAACAGATCTTGACAATATTTGTAAAAAGCATGACATATGTTGACATGTTGGATAAATGTGAAGCTCTTTCTCTTGTTTTTCCAAAGACTTTATTAAAGGTGCACAATGTGTTTTTTATGTTTGTACATATACATTTATATAATTATACCCTTCTGTAACAGTCTCTTGTTATTTTTGCTGCTTATTTTGAATTTATTGTCCAAATCTACTTCATGTCTATAGCACATTTTACAAACAAAGCAGTTTCCAAAGTGCTGCATGGAGATCATAAAATGAAGACAACAAAAAGGTAAATTGCTCAAATTTGGTCATACCAGTCCTAAAACAATAAAACCAGTACAATCAAAATAAAAGCAAAAACCATAAAAATCATAAAATAGCAATAAATAAGTACAAAAACTGAAATAAATAAAAGACCACACGACTCACGCAGTGTTAAAAGCCAGAGAATAAAAGTGGGTTTTAAAACAAGACTTAAAACTCTCCACTGTGGGGGATGTTTGGACATGGGGGGCAGAGCGCTCCAGAATTTGGGGCTGACCACAGAGAAGGCCATTATTACCATTTATATTGTTTCTCTTTGTTATTATAATATATATGTGTGAGCTACTGTGTCTAAATAATTTTCCTTTGTTGACAATAAAGTTTGTCTAAGTAACTGTTACAAAATGCTGTAAGAGTCCATCACCTGCATTAAACATCTGTGTAAGATAGTCAAGCCTCATACACACACATAAATCTATGATAAAAAATGTATTTCATTAGTGAGTCAGAACCTAAATAGACAAATTACTGTATGTCTGAAT